GTCTTTGACCGTAATAAAGATCTTACTTACTTACTTACTTACTTACTTACTTACTTACTTACTTACTTACTTACCTACCTACTTACTTACTTACCACAAGTCTTAAAGTTGCCAAAGTTGGAGACCCCTGATGTAGAGAGCTCTTTTCTTTGGTACTAAGCAATCAGCATTCAGGGAGTATTGAAAATAAGCTATTTAGGGAGTTTCTTATTGTCTAGAAATTTGTGGTAATTCTGCACCACTTGAGTTCCACCAAACTTAAAATACCATTTTGTCTTAGAATCAGCATCTGAAATAACAGATTCATTATTGATTAGGACATAGGATGGCTGTTCTTGCTTGATTCAAGAGATATCCATTTTTGATGAATAGTCTCAGCCACCGTTGCCCATCCTTATCAATAGATACTCTGTTATTCAAACTTCTTATTCTCTAGAATTAATGAAATGCCCTTTCTTGTAAATAATGTAAATTTAATTTATTTAATTTATTTAATTACAGATAACTGTATAGATGTATAGCATAAATAAGTTCATGCTTCTAAGAAATTGCTAATCAAAAATTCCACATTTTTTCTTATATAGATAGATGTTAGATATCTAGTTTGTGTAGTGATTAAACCTCAGTCTAGAAAACAGGAGATCGTGAGTTCTAGTCCAACCTTAGGCACAAAGCTAGGTGGGTGACCTTGGCCCATTCACTTTCTAAGAAAATGGTAATGGCAAGCTATTTCTGAAAATCTTGCCAGAAAATGTCAGGGAATGACAGGGAATGTCAGAAAACCAAGGCAATTGACAGGAGTCAACTGTGACTCAAAGACACACACACGTATGTTATTTGGGCAATATCCCAATAATAGTCTAGATGAAGCATCTAGTTTTAGCCCAGTTTTAGTCAAGCAATAGCTGAATGCCATTCTATTGTTCTCATTCAAATTGCAGTTATGATGCTAGTTGACAAGGATCAAAAATTCATAACATAAAAAATGTCATTGTGATACTGTTTCCCCTTATGCTGTGACAAACTGAATGTCAACCTAAATCTGCCCTTTAGTGCCATTTTCTCCTTCTACTGTTGTAGATATCGAATAATGACCCAATGCTGGCAACACCAGCCAGAAGACAGGCCAGACTTTGCCATTGTTCTGGAGAGAATTGAATACTGCACCCAGGTAACCATTTCTCTCAGGCTCCATCATGGTGTAACATGGTGCAGGAGAAGACAAAAGGGAAACATGCCAAGCCTACTGAATATAGTGTACTGATAATGTCTTTTTCTCAAGTTTCTGGGCTTGCAGCCCTCACTTAGCAAAACAAGTGGGGAATTATTGAAAGAATAGTTCGAACCATCTCACAACCACATAAATCCATTCATATCTAAAAGAGATGATTAGCTATGATATATACTTATCTAGGGCCTTTATTGTCCTTCTTAAATAGACCATATTTGCACAGACCTGTAAGTCTTCAATACACCTGGAGTTAATTGTATTTGGTTTCCCCAAACTAGACTAATGTTTTTTGGATGCTAGTGTAGTCACAACTCGAAGTCATTGTATACCAGAAAAAGCTACATTCTAGAAATATACTCCAGGTTCACCTATATCCATCCCACATCATATTCTCTTACACGTGTAATGCACTCAAAATGGGTAAAGGTTTTAAAAAACAGAACCTGACATAATCAGAGTAGTTATATCCGCAGCATATGCTTCAAAGACAGTCTTATCTTCGTTTAGATATACTTGGGGGTCCTCCTGATGCTGCAGATCAGAAGTACAGGGAAAAGTCTGTCTTTCCACCTAATCCTAACACTCTATATCTGAAAAAAAGTTTTGTTATGTTTTAATCAGTTTCTATCGTTTCAATATTCCATTAAGTATAACATGCTGTTTAGCAGTGGGGTTCATTAACTTCAGTGAGATTGTGCACACTTCAAAAATTATTTGAAAAAAGTTCTTTGGATCATCTATCTTCTTAAGAGAAGAACAGGCCTTCTCTGCTCTTCTTAAGGCAATTTAACCAGTTTCATGAGCATAAGAAAAAGGTGCTGACTTCCACGCATAAGACATGGAATCCAAACTTTTTTTTACTCATGAAAGAATAGTTTATCAGTCTTATTTTCTGTCTAACAGATTTATTGTGTAATTGTGAATTTTAATGTTGTCAAGAAGATGAGAGAGAGAATAGCTCTGTTTCTGAACAAAAATATATTTTTCCACTAGTGTTTTAGGCATAACTAGAAGATAAATACAAGTTGAACTACTGTTTCTCCTTCCCTATAGGATCCTGATGTCATCAATACGGTTCTGCCTGTGGAGTATGGTCCATGCATTGAAGAAGAAGAAAAGGTTCCTGTGCGTCCTGAAGATCCTGAAGCAATTCCTCCTCTGTTAGTGTTGCCGCAGCGGGAGAAAAAGGGTGCTGAGCAGCTCCTGCCTTCCCCGTCCTCTCTCCCTTTTGTCATTCCAGCAGGAAAAGCTCTCATGAAAGCAGCTGCTGTTGAGCCAATTACCCAGGCTAACATCCAGACTTCTCTAGAAGGGGGCCACATCAACATGGCGTACACTCAATCAATTCCTGCAACAGAGCTCCACAAAACCCGGGGATCCAGAAATAAGCCTACCAACCTCTGGAACCCAACATATGGCTCTTGGTTTTCAGAGAAGCCAGTTGTCAAAAAGACTACTCAGCTGGAAAAAGAGGCAACAGAGCAGGAAGATTCAAGGCATGAAGGCAGCTGTACTTTGGGGCCCAGCATAATGGCTGGAAGGCTGCCAAGCTCTTCCCTTCTTCTAGAACCATCTTCACTTACAGCCAGTGTTAAGGAAGTGCCTCTCTTCAGGCTTCGCCATTTTCCTTGTGGCAATGTTAACTATGGCTACCAACAGCAAGGCCTTCCCTTGGAAACCTCAGCCCCACCTCTGTGCCAGCAGTTACGAGGACCTTCACCTTAGGAACGAGCTCAATCAACCTCTAATCTTCTTGACTTTCTTCCCATGTGACTCGTGAGCCTTGGCACAAACTTCGGTGTCAACCATAGAGCAACCACGAGAACAGAACAAATTCCCTTCTGTTATGTGCCAATCTGCTCTGAAGTGCCATCACCCCGGAAGCTTTTTTTAAAAAAATCTCTTAATAAGTTTCAATTTATCAGTGCTCCTTTATATACACACCTACACAATCACACCTTTAAACCCACATAACTCTCTGAGATAATAGTCACTATTACAAGCAAGGCCCTGTCCTCAACTGCATAATATCACTTGCATGGTTGTTTGCTATGGCCTTTCCTGTGCGCTGCTTCCTCTTAGTTGTTTATATGCCATTTCAAAACTCACTGGCCAAGTGTTTAATGTTTAGGGATTTTCTATACTGCCAAACAATATTTTGGATGTCCTCATGATTTCAGAGAAAGTATGGAAATGTTGTCCTGTCAAAGGCAAAGTCACATAACATGGACTCTGAAAGAGCTCATATTCAAATAGCATCATAACTACCACATGCATGCAAAACTATGGAGATCTAGCATCAGAATAGCTAAATGTGTCAATGTCACTCCTTTTATTCTGTAGCGGAAATTGCAGAAAGTGAAATGGATTACCTTGGCAAGACAGTAAAAATGCTCACCTTTTCCCATCTATTGTGATCATTGGTTGGCAACAGTTGAGGAGTTATATCTAACCCTTATCTTTCAGAATGTATTAATGTCATTGATGGATCTGGCAAAATGTGGCAGATGAACAAAGGATTACCAAGATAGTAAAGGCCAGATTGCATACTACTGAAACTCTCATTATGTCACTGTCATTATATCATTGCTGAGGGCAAAGCTTGGCAATCAGAGGAAGAGAGTCCTTTGGTTTGAATATCAATTCTTCCAGGGTGTGAATATATTAATTATTATAATATGCACAGTAGTTTAGGAACCAAGCCAAACGCTTTTATAGAACAAGAATTTAGGAGAAAGGGGTGTTAGAAAATTCTCACTGCCCATTTTTCAAAGCATATGTAATATATACAGTACATATACTGATAAATTAGGACTTAAAACAATAATTATATTACAGTTCAGCATGTCATAGAGCCACAATCCAACATGTTTCACAGCTTGCTAGAAACAGCCATTAATTTGACTTGAATTGAAAAGCTTTATTAAAATATCTTACTTTGTGATTAGTTGCCAAAATTGTACCTACACAGTAATACCTACTGGGTGAGTTAGCTAAAGTGATGGTGATACCTGTAGTATGAAAATATTGATACAAATGAAGATGTTAACATTGTTCCAAGCAGATAAACTAGCACACTGAGCCAAAGTTGCTACTCAGGTGTGCAACTTTCAACCACTTTTCTAGCTAAGTGAAAAAAGTAGTATATTATGTGGTACTAGTAGTATCTTATGCTACCCAATCTTTGTATCACTGTAAAGATAAATGAAGACCAATTTGTGCCTCCTGTCTTCGTTTTAAGATCCTAATAAACAAATGGAGTTATAGTTCTGTGCAATTTGCATTGCATAAGATCATTAATTTCATTAGGCCTTATTTGCAAATGAAGATGAGTGATCTTCCTCAATGAAAGCAAATGTTATTGACTGTCAGTGGCTCTTGGCTTGCTGTAATAACAGTCAACAGAAATTGCTCTGTAAATTAGGCAAATAGAATATTTATTAATCCCTCCCATTGACAGAATATCATGGTCCTACCAGGAAATAACCAAGAATCCTAAAATATAAAGTGAGGCTGGCTTTCTCTCTGCTCCGAACAATCTCTTTTAATCATTTTTACATAGGCAGCCCCATGTTCTGTAGTTGAGTCAGGGAGCTTAAATTAGTAAGTATGTGGGTTTCCTGCTTGACATTTCTACTTGCACATAGCAAAAATCTCATTCTTTGTGAGAATTGTTCCTTATGCTGATAAGACCAGCGATTATATATACCAAACCAATCAACAGTTACATTCCTTCCTGCCTTCACAAGAGGGGAAGGTTGGGGGGGGGGGCTTAATTGCAAGACTATGAGAAATTGGACAAGATATTTTACCAGACAGTAATTGCTTCTACATAACAGTATCATCTGAAAGAAAGAAATTTACAGGAATAAGTATGAAGTTTCTCTCCTGAAAGTTTGGACAAGAAACAGTCCAAGGAACACATTTTTCAAATCCATAGTACATTAAATTACAATGGAATTTAAGGTTGCAACAATTCTAGCAAGTACCTTACTTGCAAATAAGATGCTTATATATAAGCAATTATGGTGGCAAAATTGTTACCTATTTTCTCACACACATTGTTTAAGAAGCAGTTTGTTCTGTGAAGATGGAACAGGATGTACCAGATGATCATTTTGGTTGATGCTAATCTTATCACTGTGATTCCTGTTTGATCCAGCTCAAGATACTTAAAAGCAGAGTTCTGGATTCTGTAAAATACAGAATACAATATTGAAGCAGGTTGTGATGTTGCAGTGACTATACCAAACCTCATGTCATAGCTTATTTGTGTACATTATGTAGTTACCCTTGTTTTGCCTCTTCCATTAATCAAGAATTTATTTGGAATGTTCATTATAGTTTTAGTATATGCCAGAATTGATAGAAAGCTCCACAAACCAGTAGCCATTCTTATCTTCCCAGCAAAAGGCCCTCAATGGTGTAATTTTGCACCCTTGAAAAATCATTATACTGAGATGTGGTTGCTTAAGATTATTGTGTATAAGATGGTGAGCCATATAATTTGCTAAAGAAATAAATTTATCTTGATGTTTGCAAAACTTACAAACCTCATCATGAATAGACTCTTGAGTCTTTCCACAGCAGTTATTTATCAAGGACAGAGCTAGAAAAATTTAGTTGACAAGCCTGTTAAGTATCCAACGCAAAGTGCATCATCAAGCATTTAAGTTACACTACAGACTAGCATCAAATGCTATGCCAGGGACAGCAGACAGACCACAACTGAAGCTGACCGTCACAAATACATGGGAATCATGCTGATCTATAACGAAGTGTTCCCCAAGAATAACCCCCACTTGGGCAGAAGTCACTTTCAATAACTTATATGGTCAATGTGGCAAGTTTAGGGAAGAGCTGAAGGAATATATCACACAATTTGCCTTTTACCTGATCAGAGATGCAAATCTCTTTCTGAAGCCTGAGCTCTGAAGCTATATGGAAAAACATTCATGCTTCTCTAACTTGAAGTCTTACAGGGAAAAACAATGAGGAAAAAATGAATAGGGTTGCTGCAAAGTCTTGATGTTTATACATGTCATGCACTGCAGCAAAAGAGAAACAGAGAGAGAGGGAGGGACGGAGGGAGGGAGAGAGAGAGAGAGAGAGAGAGAGAGAGAGAGTGAGTGAGTGAGTTCCCCCATAATTACAGTTGGGAGAAAAGTATAGAGTTATAGGAAAACCGATGAAGCAGAGGCAAGGAGAAACTAGGATCCCTAATCTACT